TGGGTAGAAGTATGAGTGAGCTGCAGGTACACAGGACAGACAGAACCCAAAGAAGAGGTTCACCTCAGAAATGAGCTGTGTCAGGACTGTCTCGTGGGTCCTGAGCTAGCCACTGCATTAAAATGTCTCTGCTACTGCACAGTGAGAAAACCAGGAGTCAAACCATTTCCAAATAAGGAAGTTCTGGTGCACAGCAACACATGACAAAGTGACAACCTCCAATGTTTTAATTCTTTAAAGATGACCAGGAAGCGAGGCTCAGCCATATCTATCAAGTTTAAAACAAGGTGGAACCTACCATGGATTTCTTGCCATCCCCTCTGGTCCACTACCAGATGCCCTACCACTGGCATCCTTCTGCATCACACCCTCCTGACAAATCGGGAACATATCAACAGTCTACAACTGACCTTGCTCTGAGTTTTGAGCTCTGTATACTATACAGACGCATACAAGGCCACAAATGTTTCTGTCACCAGTCTGGCTCTGGCAAGCATTTCGTGTGTGAGTTCCTACACATCAGTGCATTTTATAAAACACAGTCAGGGCACTGGTGGTTCCTACCTGTAATCCTAGCTACTCAGAAGGCTGAGATATAAAAACCACAACTTGTAGTCAGCCCAGGCAGGAAAGTCTTTTGAGACTTTATCTCCAATTAACCATCAAAAAGCCAGAAGCGGAAAACTGTTAGCCTTGACCAAAACAGCTAAGGCAGTACCTAGACCCAGAGTTCAAGCCCCAGTCCCAGCACAAAACAAAAACCTATTTTTAGCTATTTTTTTACACAGTCGTGGCATATACAATTTTTATATTTTCAGCTAAAATAGTTTAAGACTCGGCTGGGAAGGTGGCTTAGTGGTAGAGTGTTTGCCTAGCATGCATGAAGCAGCTCAGGAACAGTGCCCAGACCCAGAGTTCATGCCCCAGGACTGGCAAAAAACAAAAAACTCGTTTACTTATTTCTTTGAGAGTCATGGATACTGTCTCTTAGTGTCTTTAGAGCATTTAACTGCATGATTATCACCTTAATTTAGCATGAGGACAAGTTTTAAAGTTTCCAATATTGGAAGGAATGCTAGATTTGAGTATTTTTGATTGTGCAATTTAACAAATGCACAAATAAACAGACAGCCTCCTTTCCCAACCACATCACGTTTTTGAACTTCCCATCTTGGACCATGCGATAATCTGATATGGGAGATGTGGTGAACGCAGTGTGTGTCTCTGGTTAATGTGATCAGCAACTTCTACGCCTGAAACCATCTGTATTTCTTATCTGAATAGTCTCCCGGCCACATTCACTCAGGAAGGCAGACAGCACTTTAGGTATTCCACTCAGGAAAGGACTCAACACAGGTGCTTCCAAAACACTGGCAGGGCTGGAGGAAAAGAAGGTCGTACACAGCCAGCGAGCGCAGGAAGTCAAGGAAACAGTGATGACCTCAGCAGCCTGCAGCCTGAGCAGGTGAGTGCAGGGCACAGAGGTCCCTGCAGAGCCTCACGTAGCCCCTGCATGCACAGCCACGCCCCTGCCCTCCAGCTGAGGACACACAGCCCTCCACCACACTCACAGGACACACACCAACACCTCTGAGTAAGAGGACTACCGCAGATGTGTGGCCTCCGGGCTCACAGCAACTGGAATAGAGAAGGGTCCCATGCCCAGGAGTGCACAGTCCAATCCCCCACTTCCTCTCATCCATATGCACCCCTGGGCTAAGGCTAAACTTGAAACCTGATACTTCCACTCAACCAAGGCGTGAGTGCTTCCTCCAGCCTGTCCCCAGCTCCTGCTCTGGCATCATCGCCCTTCCAGGATGATCTGACGTGCCTTCACCGCCTTCCGACTGAAGATGACCACCAGCAGCACACACTACATAAAGTAAAAGACTGCCAGTTAGCACATCAAATAAACACACTAGGAATCAAGAACACGTGGGCTGTTCAGGGAGGGCTCCTGAGGACAGAGAGTGGGGTTCCAATGTCCTGACGCTGCCCTGGGACTCTTTGCAGCCGCCTATGCATGGGTCACCAGGCATGGCTCTCGGCTGGGGGTTCCAGTGTTCCCCATTGGAAGCTGCTGGTCTTCTGTAGTCTTAACACTACACATGGAGATACTATGATGTCACTGAGAAACTCATCTGTGTACACACATGCAAGCATGTATGGGCACATACGTGTAGGCACATGTGCTATGCCAGGAGGGTAGAGGCAGCGAGGCAGAGGCTTTTAGTTGCATTGTGGTGCTGAACTAGGACTGCAGGTGTAACTCAACGGTAGAATGGATTGCCTAGCTTCCATCCCTGGCTTCCCTCCTCAGCATCAGAGACCTATGGTTTTGTATTACCTGGATACATTTACTACATGAAGAATGAACTGCTTTATCCTAACTTTTGGGAATGATACATTGTCGTGTGCCACTTACAATAGGGACATACAGTATGAAGGGTGACTGCTGTGCAAATACCTCAGGTAACCGGATGACCGGCACAGGAGGTGGTGTCATCTTATGGGATATGCAGTCTGTCGCTGATGGATGCATTACAGCTGTAACCAAGTTAACTGTCTTTAGCTTACTCCACAAAAGTAAGACAAAGGGAAGGGGCGATGTCGTCCAAAAGAAATGCACACTACCTGATTTATGTACCTGTAATCACTCTGTACATCACCTTTATGATAACAACAAAAAATTCACCAAAAAGAAAAGATTTCTCCTGAGACAAGCAGACTGCATGTCCACAGGGAGCAATTACAACAGTGGCCTCTGAGTCAAAATCAATGGTTCTACAAATGCAATCACGCTACTCAGTATACACTAATATACTAATGTGGAAAATGAACTATGTAACTTATGAGCAGGGACAGGAGGGAGAAACAGTGGGAAAGCGAAGGAAGGAGACAATGTCCACTGTCCAAAACAGAAGTGCACTCATTCCCTGACTTAGTGAGCTATACAGTACCCATACATACTACTCTGCTTAAGATAAGATAAACACTGTTCAAAAAGTGAGAAAAAAGGTCAGAAAGACTGAGGGAAGACACAGATGTTCTACTCCATGCTGAGCCCCAGAGCAAGTAGGGGCTGCCACTGAGTGGCGAGGTACTGTGCTTCATTATAGCTTCTAATCTAAACCTATGCCTAGCCCACTGTAGAGAATCTTAGACAAGCTATTTAACTGCTCAAGGTCAGTTACAGTGTTTATTAAAAAAGAGGGGTTAGGGCTGGGGGTGTGGCTTAATAGTACAGCCCTTGGCTAGCATGTGTGAGGCTCTGGGTTCAATCCCTGGCACCACAAAGGAAAGAGGCAGAGGAGAGAAAAACTGTAGAAGAGCTTATCTTGATGGATGTCTCAACTTATTTTTCTCATTGGATGCTTCTGTCTTTGGTACACTAAGAAACCATTAATCTTGGGTCAAGAAAATGTACATCTGTTTATTCTAAGAGTTTTACAATTTGGCTCTTCCATTTAAGATTGGAGCCTAAGTAAAATATGGGATATGATTTGAAATGATTTGTCTTCATTTTTTTGCACATGACCATTGTTCAAAACCCTATTATCTCCCCCACTGAACGGTCTTGATGGCTTCACCAATCAACTGGACATGGATGCCTGGGTCTCCTCAGATTATCAGTCTTACTCCATCACTCGACCAATACTATACTGACTTTGTAGGAAGCAATGAAATCAAGAGTCCCTAACTATTTTCGGTCAAGGATTTTGCTGTCTAGTCCTGTATCTTGTGTTCCAAATGAACTTTATTAGATTGCCCATTTCTGAAAAATCCAGAATTATGATAGGGATTACACTTCCATTATAGACCAATTTGGACAGTAATCATATTAAATCTTACAATTCACCAGGTGTGCTGGTACACCTGTAATTCCAGCACTTGCAAGGTTGATCCAGAAGATCACAAGTCTGAAGCCAGCCACACAGCAGTATCCTATCTAAAAGAGATTTTAAAACTTATTCATTGGTTCAAGCCCCATGACCTGGGCAGGGGAATCTAATAATCTAGTAACACCAAGCCTTATATCTAATAATCTAATAACCCCAACTGAAGCCTTGTATTTATATCGTTCATTTCTTTCAGTTCTTCAGCTTTCCAAGGTGTCATTTTGTACTTCTTGGGATAAATGTATCCCATGAGTTCTTTTTTTCTTTTTCCTTTTTTGGACCAGGCGCTGTGCCTGAACTTTTTTGCTCAAGGCTAGCACTCACCACTTGGAGCCACAGCACTACTTCCAGTTTAGGGATGGTTAATTGGAGATGAGTCTCACAGACTTCCCTGCTCCGGCTGGTTTTAAACCATGATCCTAGATCTCAGCCTAAGAAGATTACAGGTGTGAGCTACCAGCACCTTTTTAATGCTCTTTAATGTTATTCCAAATAGAATTTCTAACTTCCCTTTCAGGTCATATACAGGTAGCACATAGAAATTCAGTTTATACTGAAGCGTGGCACAATATTGTCTTATTCCTTCCTGATCATTGAAGGCTTTCCATCTTTCACCAGAGAACATTACTGTGGGTTTTTTCAGATATTCTTTACCTGGCTGAAGAAGTTCCTTCTATTGTTTGTTGCTTAGATCATTCTTTAAACTAAGGGTGCTAAGAGTTTCACAAATGGCCTCCCTGTGTCGTTGAAGACTACTACACTTCTTCCTCTTCAAGCCATTAAATGGAAGGTTTTATATACACATCACTAGATGTTATACATAGCCCACATTGATATATGCTGACCAGCACTGAATTCCTGAAATATCCCAGGACATGGGGTATATACCCAAGTGTTTCTTCACAGTGGCTGGATTTGTTTTGCAGGTGTCTGTGGAGCATGGCTGCTTGTCTGTACTCCAAGGTTTCCCTGGGGCAGCTCTGGCTTTGGCTTATTGATTCTTCTTTATACAGTTACCCATTTTAATTACCTGCAAAACACCTACTGATCCAGTACTGTGTTCAGCCAGGAAAGGTAACTCATCAAACAAAAACACACTCCTAACTTGTCAGGCATGTCTGTTTTATTTTCCTTTAAATAATATTTTTTGGAAAATTACATTTTCAAAGAATCAGCCCTTACAGAGATAATCTTTCAAAAAAATAAAATCCAGCATCTGGATTCTCAAAACTCACAAAACAGTTGGAAATTTCTGGTGGCCAGCCAGGGAACCATGCTCAAGCCAAGGTCATGTCACAGGTGATAATCTATAGCTAAGGTCAGTAGCAAACACCCCAGTCCTAAAGGCGACCAGAGACTTCCAGTGCTGACAGCTGTCTTATTGCTCAGGTACACATAATACATTTTCTTTGGCAACTTCATCAATTTACACCACAGGACAACTACAAAGGTTTGGGAATAACTTAATACTTAAAATGTCACTGTAATTATATAAATGTAATTTCTTACAGATGCTAGAATAAGAAAGCTTCCAAACATGCCTTATAAATTCATCCCCCCCAAAACAAAAATCAGAAAAACTCTGCTAAATAATCACTACGAAAAGCTTTTTAGCTTTATATACAAGTATACAATACAACTCAACTTTACCAGTGAAAAATATTACATTATCTCCAAATCCTCATCACATCTTCTGCAATAAAGGACAAAAAAAAGCAATAAATGGAGTACCTGGGTACCCTGTCAGCTTTTCTAGAAGGCTGTTTCATACAAATTCAAACTGGTCCAAAAGCTACCAGAACTATATGAATTCTCACTATTAATAGCTCAAAACTTGCACTTAAAAAATACAGATAGTTCCTTGTTTCCTGATCTATGGATTAAGCCTGTCTTGGAAGCTTGGCACAATATTACTAAGAAATCTATAAACAGGAAGCTCAAGCCTAGAAGTTTAATTAAGAAATCTTTTCTCTAAAAACAAGAACCCCAACTTAAATGGCTTCCACTAAAAACTATCACTCCAAAGTTCACACACTGTGAGTTAAAATAGGTCTGACAGAAAGTGCAATCTGAGACATATTCATATAACAGATAAGCAACAAAGGTTAGTCAGCAAAAAGTTCACAAAGACACATGGGTAAACACTTGAATGCAAATTTTCAGGAACACTAAGAAATGACTCATTTGGGTAATCTTATATACAGCGTATATACAGTTTAAAACAGTACAACTGAGAACATCTGCACGTAAAAGCCGTAACAAAGTCAAATGAAACACTATATAACAGTCTTAGAAGCTGTCATAGGAGAAGGGCTAGCAGGTATTACCCTAAGACACACCCTCTTCCTGATCTATCATTTCTGTTTTCACTGAAAACACATCTGCCAGCATATGCTTTGGTATCTCTGAGCCTCGGACTTTCAGGGCATAACAAGCATTCTCCACTTTGGCCAGACTCTGTTTCAAGGTGTACAGCTTCTTAGAAACCTCGTAAGGCCCAGTGTTGCCAATGAACGAGAACCCATCATAAACCTGGCGCAAAAACTGGCTCACTTCAAAGGGGGTGTCAATGTCCCCATTGCCCACACTGTTAATGCACATCCGCATGAGCTCCCCTGTGAGATCGGCCACTCCCAGCAGGTAATCCACAGGCGTGACTCTCAGGCTCCACGTGAGGAGCTGCTTCACCTGTGCCTCAGAGGTGGGCTGGTTTAAAAGAAGACAAAAACAGGCAGAGAGAATGCTCTGTGAGAAAGCACACAACGCAAGTATCTCAAGTATTACAAAGTACAAAATCAATAGCATGCCAGGGGAAGCTTTGCCAGTAAAATGATCTGTCTGGCTTAATAAATACCTGGGGTTCTTGTGGGAAATCCACCACATCAGGCACGGGGAATTAGCTGAACCACTATAATACTTAAAAATCTGACTCCACTACTGAAAAGCCCCAACCTCACTTGACAAAGATTTTCTTTTTTTTTTGGTCGGTCATATGGCTTGAACTCTGGGCCTGGGCGCTGTCCCTCAGCTCTTCAGCTCAAAGCTGGCACTCTATCACACTACAGCACCACTTCCGGTTTTTATGGTGGCTTACTGGAGATAAAAGTCTCTTAGACTTTCCTGCCCAGGCTGGCTTTGAACCATGACCCTCAGATCTCAGCCTCCTGAGTAGCTAGGATTACAGGTGTGAGCCACCAGTGCCTGGCAACAAAGATTTTCTTAAAGGTAAAAACTTTTTAACAGATGACACTATATAAAAGGAAATGTAGTTATTACCTGACACATGTAAATGTAACCCTATGTGTATCACACATATCAAACAACAAAGTAAAAAGGTAAAAACTTTTTTAAAGGCCTAATGACATCAGGGGATGACAACCATTTCAGTGACGAGGTCCAGTGGCACAATGGCAGAACGCTCACCTTGAGCTGAAGAGCCCAGGCCCAGACAACAAAACAAGCCAGCAGAAAGCCTTCAGAGCATAAGAAATGAATCCAAGGCCAGATGCTGGTGGCTCAGGTGTAAAACCCTAGCTACCAGAGGCTGAAATTTGAGGATCAAGTTAGTTAACACAGCCTGGGCTTTTGAAAAGCCCGTGAGAATTCAGTCTCCCAATTAAGGAGCATAAAACCAGCCTGTCTCCCATCTAACACTATAAGCCAGTAAATCTTACACTCGTTATGCTCTTGGGTAAGTTATAACAAATGTGTAATGTAACATTAAATTCTCACAGTTTTGTTTTCTTTTCCACTATCTTCTGTTGTAAATATCAACTGCTTATTAATTTCTTCCATACTGATTAATGAACGTGTTTTGATGAAGTGTTGAAAAGAGACAGCTTCCACGTATTCTTGCAGCCCTGAAAAAGCAAACAAAATTACTAAGAACAAGCACTGCATTTATAGGACGGTCAAAATAAAAAACTTGAAACTCTTATCACCTCACTCAACAAGAACGATGAGTTGACTAAGACTTAAGTGGTGTGCACAGTTTCCGGGGCCTTGTCCCGGGACTCAGAGACATCACTGCTGGACATCAGGAACGAGTCAGCTCACCACTTCATACCTTGCACAAAAGCATGATCATAGAACATCCTTTTTTTTTAATTATATAGCTGCAAGTGTGGCTCAAATGAGAGCTGACCAACCTAGCAAATGTGAGGCCAAATTCAAAGCCCAGTACCACTAAAAACAATTAAAAATAATAAGCAGTAACTAAAAATGATGTTTTAAAGAAACACTGGATACACAGGAAAATGCCTCATGTGGGAAAATATTAAACACTCTAATAGTCACTCATTTCACTTGGGAAGGTGAAAAGGCGCTAGAGGTGGATGAACATGATAGATGCACATTAAACAATTAATGCAAACCTGTATTTATCAGTGATTAAACTGGGAAATTGTATGCACTATGCCACTCTGGCCTTTTTTACAACATTAAGCATCTGCAACTATTAGCACTATTAGCACTGCTATGACATCTTAAGTTTGTATGCTGTATTTTTATTGCAAATATAATCTCTTTTCTATGGCAGAGAAGTCCAAAATCATTTGCCTAAAACAACCTACCTTTGACGATCAATTCACTTCAGAGTTTATTAACTTTATGAAGCCAAGTTTATATTGATTTAGTGTCCTTAAAATGGATTATTTTATAAAATGGTAATTTCTGTGCCACATTTGTCAGAAAAAAGGTGGAAAATTCCTTGTTTACTTTATTTGATGAATTTACTATTAATTTCATTTATATTTGATTTTAAGACCACAAACAAAAATAAGGTATGTTTTTACATCGTTCATCTATACACAAGAGCATTCTTGGCTGGTTGCATATAACTGAGTTTCCTCAAGATGATTTATACAAAAATAAATTTCAGCAGGAAGAATAGTACATAATATTCCAAACTTGAAAAGCACCACAGAAGGCACAGACTCTACTAATCTGTTTTATGACTGAGGTCCAGGTCTTGAAGCTGGTTGAAACAGTTGAAAGCTATTAGTAACCTGACTGTCATTTTTAGAAAACATATTAAAACAATTTCCAAGCTTTGACCTGACTCATGAATACAAAACAAGTTTTTACAACTAATGACTTTGGACAATTTTTCCCACTGACACAGTTTTTTACCATCTGTTTTGCTGTAATTATCTTTTAAAATAAAATCCAATCAGAAATCAGGAGAAGTTTAAAAAATACTAGCTTGAGCTGGGCCCTGGTAGATCACACCTAAAATCCTAGCTACTCAGGAAGCTGAGATCTAAGGCTCACAATTCAAAGCCAGCTGGAAAAGTCCATGAGACCCTTATCTCCAATTAACCACCAAAAAACCAGAAGTAGAGCTGTGGCTTAAGTGGTAGACTGTTGGTCTTGAGCACAAAAGCTCAGGAACATCATCCAGGTGATGAGTTCAAGCCCCAATATGGGCACACGAAGATCTGAAATTTTGTTTAATTAAGAAAAAAATAACAGGGCTGGGAAGTTGGCTCAGTGGTAGAGTGCTTGCCTTGCATGCTTTTTTGAGGCCCTGGGTTTGATTCCTCAGTACCGCATAAGCAGAAAAAGCTGGAAGTGGTGCTGTGGTTCAAGTGGTAGAGTGCTAGCAAAGAAAGAAAGAAGGAAAGGAAAGGAAAGGAAAGAAAGAAAGAAATAATATAAAATCAGAGCCCTCAAAATTTATCTGTGGTGTCACTCTCTATTAAATGTAGCCTGTGGTCAGATGTAAATTCCCAAGTATATCTGAAACCATACATAAGACATCCCTGGGATGTGTTTCATGAGAATTACTTCAGAGATGAGGTAGCCAATTCTGCCCCAATGACATTAGAGTTCATGCTTTATCAATGAGGAAGTTCAAGGACATGTAGCCCAAAGCACTGAAAAGCACTTTCAGTCATATGTAGGTAAAAGGATGTTTAAACAAGTTATGCTTCAACTTGATGAAAAGGACATCCGTTATTTTCAGTGTATAATCCCCAAGGCGAAAACTTTCAGCCTATTGCCATATGCCATCAAACAATGCCTTCCCCTCTGCTTCTGCTTTGGATGAGATCCAAACAGAAGTATTTACAGAGACAGCTTCCAGTAAGAGAGTAGTTCGTAAGTTGCTTTTATATAATTTTTCTCTTCGCTCTCCTATTAAAACATACAGGAAAACCCAATTAGAGGCTTCTGATTATTTTTACTTATTCTTATAATATTTAAGCAATATATACACTCAGTCCAATTATCCATAAAAACCACATATGAAGGTAAACAGGTTAAGAGAGAAGTTTCATTTTAAGTTCAAATCTTGTCTTAACCTTCTTTGCACTTCTGAGGCTCCTTCCGAAAACTGCCATGTGACTCTCTCCTAGCTAAACACATGAAAAGAATGCATGAGTTCACACAAAGCCTTGTAGACAAAGGTCAATAGCATTAGTATTCACAACTGCCAAAGAGTAGAAAAAAATCAAAGTCCAAAAACTGATGAATAAAAGGTGGTCTGCGAAGCATCCTAATACAGCTACACACAAAAGAAGCGTTGTACACATCACAACTTGGACAAACCACGAAAACATTACGTTAAGTAAAAGAGGCCAGGCACAAAAGACTTCAGTGTAGGATTCCACTTATCTGAGATGTCCAAAAGAAACAATTTTGTACAGACAGAAAGGAAGTTACTAGTTGCTAAGAGTCTGGGCTAAAAGGCAAATGCTGACAGCACATTACTGCTTATTCTATTAAGGTGATTAAGTTTGTGAAGGAGAAAGGACCTCTTTGACTTGGGCATTGTGTCCAAAACTGAGTATGAAATCTCATCCTAATCACATGTTGGACCTCAGCTCAAAAGTAACTTTCTAGGGGCTAGAGGCATGGCTCAAGGGGTAGAGTACCTGCCTAGGTGAAAGCCCTGAATTCAATCCCCAGTATTATCACTGCCAACAATAAAGTTTATAGTATAAAACACACACCTTTCAGTTTAGGATCAAAACAGTCAAGAAAAATGACTGCATCATCTCACACTTTAGTTCACTTTTAAATTTTCTCTATTTTACTTTCCTGTCTAAGCAGATTATCAGTCTTTTAGAAGTAGACATAGGAGGTAAGTGCTTCCAGAGAATCTTCTGAGCGTGCAAGTAGATACACACAATATGGAACTGTAACCTAGAACTTAGGAGCCAGATGATGGTGAGCTTGAGAAGAGACCAGCTCTGCAGAAAGCAGTTAAAGTGTAAAGTATTAAGTACTGGGTACCAGACAGGAAGCACAGTCAAGCAGATTTATTAGCATAGGTACCAAAAACAAAACAACAACAAAAAAAGCAGACTCTAACCCCAGTACCATCATCACCCTCACTAACAAAATGAAGTAGGACCTGATGTCCTCTCATTACCCTTTTAGTTATAAAATTATTTATAAGTAAAAGTCTCCTTAGAAACAAAATCCACCAGGGGGGGAGAAGGATTAAAAAAAAAAAAAAAAAGAAACAAAATCCACCAGTAAGCATTGACCAGAATTTCCAGTAAACCAAACGGATATAAAATTGCCCCACCAAATATATCTTCTTTTCTGCATACACACAGGCCACACTGCCACTCTCCCTTGAAGTGATATGTGGCACGTGACTAATGAAAGGTGACTTGAGGGAATGCAAGCCTCTTCTGGGTTTTCCCATGCAAGCCCTCAGGCACCATCCTCCTCCTCATCTCCACAATTTGCTGGTCTCTGCTGAACCTTGCTCAATTTGGACAGCGCATGAACAACAGTGACCAGAAGACCACAAAACTGATTTCAGTTCGCTATGGTCAGCTACTCCCTCATCAGCAGACACACTTTAACTTCACCTTAACACATCACCATCTGTATCCAACCTCACTCAATAACAACAAAGTTCACTTTAGCTCTTCTCTGTTCACTGAATTCCCATTACTCCAGACTTAGTTTACTTCTCCAGTGAGCCTTCTCAATTCTACCTAGATCAAATTTATGTACACTAACATAACAAGCTTTACAACAGGAAACCATTGACATTAATTCTAATATTGACACTGTTCCTGCTACCTATGAAAGCAAATCACCAGATAAAGAAATGGTGAGAGTTGTTTAAGGATACAGGTGGA